TTCTGCACACATGAGATGGGTAAATATTAAATCTAGTACAATCTCCCAGTGTTTGATGCTATTTATATTCATGCAGATCCTTGGCTAGCCATGTACAACTTAGGAAAATGTTTAAAAATTGTTTTAGGTACACCTAATTTGGAAAAAATAATCCATTAAAAATACAAAGTTAATAATTGCACAAAATATCCAGGAATATGAAAAGCCAATAATTTATATGTAGCAAGCTGTAAGGTATAGGTCCCTATGAACTTTCTGTAAATTTATTCTCTACCATGTTTTCTCTCTCTGATCTCCATCAAACAAGTAAACAGAATAGAGCTGTCAAGAAAACATAACCTTTTAGGAAAATTAGGTCACTTTACATCCATGTAGTTAAATTCTTCTACCCCCGATATCCACCCCAACACCACACAGGCCATTAAAATAATAAGGGGGCTGCCTCAAGTGTCAGTCACACATCTATTTTAAATCTTTTCTTCTCACTGCTCCCCAAATCAACTTACCAGAGTGACACTGAGAGCATAAACTATGTGTTCATGCCATTCCAAAGAATTAGCTGCCATAATACTCCACTCCACCCCACTCTTCTTCCATGCAGGAAAGTACATCGTGAAGGAGAAAGCTCAAGTGGCAGCGTAAGGATAACTCTGCATCCATGTGCTCTGCTTTATGCAAACAAGCCAATGATTCCAAGTGGCAGTACTGTAACTCTTAACAGTCACAAATGTATTTCTATTCATGCAGATTGGTATGGGTGAGAAGTAGGGCCTTGGAGAGAGCCTGGGATGGGAGGCAGTCTGGGGTATAATATTCATCCAGGAACCTGAGTAGTATCACCCCTCGGCACAGGAGACATTTGGCCATGCTACCCACTGGCTTCAAGGTACAAACAGTTCTGTACTCCTTGTAACACAGGAAGGGTATTCAACATCCTCCCTTAGATCTGGAGTTGGGTTCAGCTCCCTCGGACAGAACCACTAGGACTTCAGAAATCTATTGCAAAAGAATTGATGAGTGGGAGCCCTCTACAACACTGCACATAAGGGTAAAAGGTCTATGCTAATGAGCATTAAATTCACAGAAGTATGAATATCATAAACATGAGCACTCTAGCTTTCTCACCTTCACTCTGTAATGGACCTGCCTCCCATTTCTGGTTACATAGTACAATTCAAATTGTCTTAGATCATCTGAATTTAGGTTAGTGAAATTCTAATTACCCAAATACCCTCTGGTAGAACTACATTTGTAGATGCAGTCTCTGGTCGATATGATTAAGAAGCCATTATCAAATGTCCCCTATCTCTTTTACATTCTTTTCTTCCGTAGAGAAAATGTTTCCATGATTTTTCCTATAAAGGAAATTACAGTAAATGGTAGAAACCCTAAACAGCACAAAAACCATTTCTAGGAAAAAGAAATAAATTCCTAATTAAGAATAAAAGTACTAAGTAAACTAAATCACATTCTTAATCATTCTATCAAAACTACACATGCCCCTCAACTTACAATGGGTTTACATCCCAATAAACCCACCATAAGTTGAAAATATCATAAGCTGAAAATGCATCTAATATACCTAACCTACCAAATATCATAGCTTAGCCCAGGCTATCTTAAACATGCCCAGAACACTTACAGTTGAGCAAAATCATCTAGCACAATGTGCACACTGTAAGGTATCAGTTGTGATTGTATGGCTGACTGGGAGCTGCGGCACGCTGCCACCGCCCAGAATCATGACAGAGTATAATACCTCACATTGCTCGCCCAAGAAAAGATCAAAATTCAAAGTACAGCTTCTACTGAATGCATATCGCTTTTGCTCCATCATACAGTCAAAAAAACGTAAGTTGAACCACTGTAAGTAAGTCAGGGATACTCTACAGTCATTTTTTTATATCTAACATATATAAAGCATGATCTTCCTGTTATACTAAGATTCTATGCACAGCTCATTGATTCTATAAGAAGGTAGTGAACAAAGTTAAGATTTAGACATTGACACAAAAGAAACCAAAGCTTGAAATTCCAGCTATGTCAGTTACCAGCTGTATGAACTTGGGCAAACTGCTTATTTTCTCTACATTTATTTTTCATCTGTAAAATGAGACAAAGTCTAGCACTACCTCAGATGATTGATGGAAATACTAAATAAGATAAGGTACACAAAGCTGTATGCACAATGCCTAACACAATGCCCCCAGTAGACGTCCACTAGTAGCAGCAGCAGTGATAATAGAAACAGGAGCAACACCAGAAGTCTGCATTGCTCCCCATACTTTATTTCATCTAGCTCTACTTTTTGACAAAAATTAAAACCCCACTAGTAGAAATTTCTAGTGCTCCCTCACATCTAAGTCTACTCTCCTTCCTGGCAAGAGGAGAAGACTATACACCTCCCAGCCCCTTGCAATTGTGTCTCTTCCAATCCAAAGAATTGAGGAGCCAATGTGCCATCTCTAGGCACTCTCGCTCTTTTGTAGCCATGTACCAAGATGCAGAAAGCCTGGATCCTGAGTTACTGCCTGGAGGAGAGCTAGCCTAGAGAGTCACTTGACCTGCTTCATACTTCAGATGAATACAAAATAAATCTCTGACGTGTTAAGCCACTGAGATGTGAGGTATGTTTATTACTGCATCAGGATCTACCCTATCTTGACCAAGAGGTATTCATAAACCCCTAAAAGGGATTCTGACATACTTCCAAGAGGGGAAGAAGGGGCACTTCCTTTTTTAAAAAAAATAAACTTGCTTTTTGTCAATCTAAATATTCTTTACTTTGTAATATTACTTCATATTGCAAGTAAATTGACTTTTCAAACGCTCCATGCTTTTTCTTCCTTTTATATTTTTAACCTAAAAAAAATTACATTTTACTTATATTTAATATACAGAATACTATTATATTTAATACTGGGGCTTTCACTGGGTCCTATGTTACACAGTCATATGTCACCCACATTACCAAAGGAAGTCTACAATCATAGTAGGTTCCAGAACAAGGAAGGGGTAATGGAAGCACCCTCAACTCTTCACTTGCTTCCAGCTTAAGGAGATATGGGACAGTTAAGTAGAATTATGGATGTTACCTAGTTTAAACTGAACTAACCCTCATGAAATGAACAAGGGGTTTTAAATGTTTTTACTAGGAGTCAAATGGTTTTGTGTATCATTAAAATTTACCTCAATACACTATTTATTTTACTTTGTCTCTTCCATATTTAATGTCATAGAAGACATAATATATTGACACAGTAGCACACCATGTAATGTATAAACAAGTATACATGTGTAAGTGTATATTTAAGTGGGAAATCTAAGCTCAAAAAACATTTAATGATTGAAGCATAAGATAAAATTAATTTTGGAGCTGACAGTTTAGAGAATAGCTTTCAACTTTCTCACTACTTGCATTACTCCTAAACTGCTGTAACCATTTCCCAAAACAACGAACAAAGGAAGAAAACCAGTATAGGACTGGAAAACACACATAGCTGTAAGAGGTTCACAGGATTTCATGAACCAGCAAAGTCAGGAAAAACCATAAGTGACAGTGAAGAGCATTAATTTGATTTAGGAGTAAAGGACAAGGCTTCCTGTTCCAACTAAAAATCACATTTCCACATCTGAAAACCAGCACAGGTTCTGTCAGATAACCAGAGGGATAAGGTGAGTGCTTTCCACACTTAGAACAAACAGCAGATTCTCCTACAGACCAGAAATGCTTCCACGGGTGCTTGGACTCCACAGGGGTGGCAGCCAGAGGAACAGACGAGAGGGTTATCAAATGACCCTAAGAAAGGCAGACAACTTCATTAGGTCAAGATAAAGATCAGTTATTGGAGAATCACTGCTTTAGCCAAGTTTAAATGATCTCAAATATCTGGTAATTTTTTTAGCCAGATGGCATAGCACCCTCTACTCCCCATCTCTGAGCACTTATCTTACTACGAGTAAGAGGTGAAGCTGGGATTTAAGCCCAGGAATGTCTGACTCCAAAGCCCCTGTGAAAATAGCATCATATAAATGAGCCTCACAGAACAGGTAGAATGTAAAAATCAAGACTGGCTGGGATTAAAAGGGAAGGGGCAGGGAGAGGAGGTGCTGTGAAGTCCTCAAGTAGAAGATCCTGGAAAGAGTAAAGGTATGGAGATGGAAACCCTGAGTATGTACAGGAATTACCAAGTGGTGGTTCTGGTAGATAGGAGATGTGGAGGGAGGTGGTGCAAGATAATGCTGGAAAGGCTGATTCAGGCTTTCCAGTAGAAGGCTCAGCCACAGAAGTAGACATCATTCTGGAGGCAATGAGTAATTACTGAGGGCTTTAAAGCAGGGGAAAGGCATAACTGCAGGTAGACTCTGGGAAAACTAATCTTGTTATGACATGGAAGATGGGTCAAAGAAAAGTAAGAAGGTGTCTTGCACATAGTATGTAGTAAATATTGAATGGATGAGGCAGAAATGTATTGTTTCTCTAGCATGATATCAAGCCCATTCCATCCCACACCACTTAATATTGTTCAGTTTGCTATTTAGAAAACAAACTCCACTCATTCTAGAAAGAAATAATGCTTCTGGTACTTCGGAAAAATCCATTCACTGGTCAAATGTGGCCCTCTAAATGCTGCTGTTAAAATGTCTACTCTTGCAAAAATTACCATTTTCCTCTTCTATTCAAAGGGAAGTACATCTGAGTTGCTGTTGTGACTGCTGAAAAAGAAAACAAAATTAACCAAGTGTAAAAGTTAGGCAATGAAAAGTGATCCTCCCTCTTCTGCAACAATGTGAAAAGGTCATTAGAAAATCAGGAGATCACAGGCTATAATCCCATATTTCCTATGCCCTCTTGCAGTCTCCAAGTCAAATGCATACTAAGTCTGAGCTTGTTGGATGATGCCAAACTTCCTTCAGCACAGGTCATGGTACCATTTGCAAAGCTTCAACTACTCAATGAGAAGCCAAGGTTGAAAAACACTGGATGACTCACAACCTACCTGATTTTCTTCATGGGAAACCCTCATCTGCTCCTTGAGGACAGACATTCGAGCTGCTTCTTCTTTCCTCAAGACTCTCTCCTTCTTGAGCTCAGGACTCCAGAAGGTCTTGATACTGTTCATGGAAGATCCTAACTTGCTGTCCTTGATGTCTAGCTCTTTCCGAAGGAAGTCATTCTCTCTCTGAAGTTCCTTGAGCTGGGCTTGAAGGTCTAACATTGTGCTATCCCTCACCTGCCTCAACATGGAGGGGACCTGATGGTGGTGATGATGGGATGAGCTGGTCAGACCACCATGTTGATCCGTGTATGAAAGGACGTCTGTGTGGGAAAGTCCAGCAGAAGCAATATTGGGACTACTCCCCATGGCTGTGACACGACCTCCATATACGGCTCTATTTGTTGCCCTTCCTAGAGTCATGGTGCCCTTTGGGTAAGTTGTCGAAGCCACCCCCTCATGGTCACTCAGATACATGGGTCCAGATGTAGCATAGGCAGCATTAAGGGACTGGATATTCTCCATGGACAGAGTCTTGCCGGTCCCTCCACCTCCCCCACTACTCGTTCTTCGGTGGCCCAAACGAGGAGACCTTGGCAGACGAGGAGATCTGGAAGGGCTCCCTTCCAGATTGGTGATCGTTCTTGCACTTCCATACATTTTTCTTCTATTATGAGGTGCAACTGAAGAGAAGGAATGCTATACTAAGCTGAAGATTCAGCCAGTATTTTCACTGTTGGCCAGAATTTTCACTGCTTTCTACTCATAATCGGTACCAGAAAATGACTCCAATCAGAGATCTGAAAAATGAGAAAAAGGATAATCAAAAACAAACTCCTTCAGAACTCTCACTATAACTGCATCATATTTTTAAATATATAGATAGACAACTAAGATGTCCTCCAGTAGGTGAATGGATAAACAAACTGTGGTGCATTCAGACAATAAAATATTATTCAATGCTAAAAAGAAATGAGCTATCAAATCAAGGCAAGACATGGAGGAGATTTAAATGCATATGGCTAAGTGAAAGAAGCCAATATGAAAAGCCTACATAATGTATGATTCCACCAAAATGACATTCTGGAAAAGGCAAAACTATAGAGACAGTCAAAAATCAGTGGTTGCTAGGGATTGAGTGACTGCTGGGAGAGGGATGAATAGCTGGAACACAGGATTTTTAAGGCAGTGAAACCACTCTGTTTGATACCATCGTGGTGGATATATGTCTTTATACATTTGTCTAAATCCATAGAATGTACAACACCAAGAGTGAAACCTAATGTAAAACATGGGCTTTGGATGATTATGATGTATCAATGTAGGTTCATTGTTTGTGATCAAATGTACCACTCTGGTGCAAGATATTGATGACAGGGGAGACTGTGTATATGTGGAGGCAGGGGCTCAATGGGAACTATGTTCAATTTTGCTATGAACCTTAAACTGCTCTAAAAAATAGTCTATTAAATAGATAGATGATACATGATAGATACATAATAGATAGATGACAGACAGACAGATAGATGGATAATAGATAATCAGTGGTGATGATAGACAGGTGAACAATAGATAAATAGATGATAGATGATGATGATAGATAGATGATAGATAGATAGATAGATAGATAGATAGATAGATAGATAGATAGATAGATAGATAGATGATAGATTAGATAGATAGATAGATAGATAGATAGATAGATAGAT